AAATTTTCGGGAAAATTTCGGAATTTTGTATCAGGAGCACATAATATGCGAGGAGGTATTCTTTCGAATGCCTGGCCCAACGTTGATTCGTACTACTTCTTCCGGAAATTTTCGAGAATTTTCGGGAAAATTTTGGAATTTTGTATCAGGAGCACATGATGTGCGAGGAGGTATTAGAATTTTAGAGGAGGATAAGAAGGAAGAGTAAGAGAGAGAGAGAGAGAGAGAGAGAGAGAGAACGAGTGAGAAAATGAAAGAATGAGAGAGTGAGAGAGTGAGAGAGTGGAAGTGCGTGAGGGTGAGAGAGTGAGAGAGCGAGGGAGTGAGAGAGTGTGAGAGATTGCGTTGATTGTGGAAGAACTGTGAAAACGGTGGACAATTGAGGAAAGAAGTATGAAAGGGTGTGGCAGGATGGGAGAGGAAGGTGATAAATAAAGAATGCAATAGTTGAATTATAATTATATATTTATTATGTAGATTGTATTATGTACACATTAATTAGATTAGAATTTGTTGCATTTGCTGTTCGAAATAGTGGTCACGATGTCGATGCAGGTGATGCTGGCGGAGGTACCTCAGGTATGGCTAACATACATCTTCCATTGTCGTGGTTGTTCGAGATAGTGGCCTTTTACTTCTTTCCTGGTTCTGCGGGGCACAAGGATGGAATGTATCGTAATGCTGATTCTTCTTGTGACGTATACATCTCAGTGGAAAATATCTTTACGATCCTGTAATGAAAGCAATCAGAGTTTAATGATTTCTCGATGTAATTTCGATATTATTAGTCAAAGTTTCAGAAGAGATCCCTAACAATGTAACCATAACCATTTGTTGTATGTATGAATTGTAATCCATTAGTTATAAACAATTTTCCATTTCATGTTTCAATATGAGATATCGAAGCAAATAATTCGTGTCACTTTGTACATAAGAGATAAAGCAAAATCCGATATGAATTTTCCGCTGCTTTCAAACAGCCTAACAGCGCCAATTTCGTGCAGCGGCAAAACACTGAAACTGTTCGTCAAGCAACAGTTGCCTGCAATTCGCCGCGCGGTAATACGGCGTGTGCGCGACATCTGTCGGCGAGTGTTCCAAGTCTGCGGCGGAAACTTAAATCAATACTCGCCGACAGATGTCGCGTGCACGCAGTGTTACCGCGCGGCGAATTGCAGGAAACTGTTGCTTGGCGAACAGTTTGAGCGTTTTGCCGCTGCGCGAAATTGGCGCTGTTAGGCTGTTTGAAAGCAGCAGAAAATTCGTGCCGAATGTTCCATTGCTTCTTACGAGAGAAGCGGCACGAATCATTTGCTGCGATATCGAACGATTTAACATAAAACTGAAAATTGTTTATTACTAATTAATTACAATTCACATGCGCATAAAATTGTTATCGATGCGTTGCTAGAGGTCTATTCTAGAGTTTTCAGTGGTAAAAGCGCACACATTGTGTCTCAGGAGTCACAAAATGAATGACCTTTGTAGGGGTGTTTTAGTTCGAGTGCCACTGATAGATAGTGTTTCCATGTCCGTAAATGGGCCATTTCGAAAAAGAGAGATTTCAGTAGTATAAGTCAATAATTAGCCAGGAAAGAAATAAATAGTAATAAATAGGATAATTTCTAAGAGACATTTCTTGTCCTGGATGATTTTAACGTTGAATGGAATTGTAACCACACAGACAATAACGAGGAGACTGTGATACGGTTAATAGGTAAATATGAAATTGATATAATTAACTATATAATACAAAATCATTCAATGATATTAGAAACAGCACATATACAATAATTTGAACCTGATGTTATCTAACAAGTTGCTGGTGACAGATGAGGTTATGAAGATGCACAGGGGTCTGACCATTTTCCAATGTGGATAGGGCTAAACCATGAAAAATGTATTTACAAAAGGCAAAATAAGAGGTTAATTAATGAACTATTATCTATATTTCTCTGCTTGAGTCAATTAATCTTTCCGAATCTCTCAAAGCTACTTGAAAATACGGACCTCGAAAGGAGCTTCTAGCTTTTGCCGCAAGAGGCGCCACTGTTTGGCTAACAGTTTGAGCGTTTTGCCACTGGATTAATTGGCGCTGTAAGGACGCCGGAAGGAGCTTCAATGTTTCTCCAGAAGAGGTGCTATTATCCCTTTCATATGCACAAACCAGGATCGCCTAAAAACATTAATTTTGGCAAAATCAGGGTCTTCTTTTTTCTTTTCTTTTTTACTCAAAGTAGATACAACTTCAGACATCTAGATTCTTCAGCTATTGGCTGTCGTACACGAAAAGAGGACGCTATAATCAGTTTGCATTCTTTGGTCGGTAAATCAGTGGACTTATGCAACGTAAGTTAATATACAGTGTTTGATCTATTTTTATATCTCTTCTGTACTTTTACTTAATAAAGAAAATTTTTCATTATTAATAGGGTTATCTTCGAACTATATTTAGATATTTTTCTGATTACCGCATTGCGATATTCATATAGGTGGCACTAGTCGTGAACTTTTGGAGGGATAACGCGATTCAATATGGCGGCGTTTGGTGTTGTGCGTTTGTGAACGTCAGGGTGAAGACCGGTGTATAATACGCGAATAATTGTGACTACTAGCACGAATTTACGCGTACATTAGGTTGATTGAAATTCAACCGGTAGTAATTACGTACAGCTCTGCAGTTGAGCAAAATGTCGAAGACAGATGAGAATGCAGACACAGGAGATACGGGAGATAATTCAAATGGATCATCGGCGGAGACCACGTCGTCCCGTGGTGGTGGTGACTTCGAAACGAAGCTGGAAACCGATCGTAGCAAACGTTTTGATTACTTACTGAAACAAACTGAAATATTCTCTCATTTTATGACAAACAATCAGAAGGACAAAGCTGGAAGTCCTTTAAAGATCAAGGCTGGCAGACCCAGGAAACAACCACAACCACCAGAGATCCCAGTCAAAACTGATTCTGGTGATCACAGGCATCGTAAGACCGAGCAAGAAGAAGATGAGGAATTATTAGCCGAAAGTAATGCCAGCGTTGCTCCCACCACGCGTTTTGAATCGTCGCCACACTACATTAAATCCGGTGAGTTACGAGACTATCAAATACGTGGTTTAAATTGGATGATATCCTTATACGAACATGGTATTAACGGCATCCTGGCGGACGAGATGGGTCTTGGTAAAACTTTGCAGACCATTTCGCTGCTCGGATACATGAAACACTTCAGAAGCATTCCTGGCCCTCACATAGTCATCGTTCCGAAGTCTACTCTGGCTAATTGGATGAACGAGTTCAAAAAATGGTGTCCTACCTTGAGAGCAGTTTGCCTCATAGGCGATGCAGAAACTAGGAACACATTCATTAGAGATGTTATGATGCCTGGGGAATGGGATGTTTGTGTAACATCCTACGAGATGGTAATAAAAGAAAAGTCAGTATTTAAGAAGTTCAATTGGCGCTACATGGTGATCGACGAAGCTCACCGAATAAAGAATGAGAAATCAAAGTTGTCAGAGATTCTAAGAGAATTTAAAACAGCTAATCGGCTTCTATTGACTGGAACCCCTCTGCAAAATAATCTCCATGAGTTGTGGTCATTGCTCAATTTTCTATTGCCAGATGTATTTAATAGTTCGGACGATTTTGACTCTTGGTTTAATACGAATAGTTTCTTAGGTGATAATTCATTAGTTGAGAGACTACACGCGGTTCTTCGGCCATTCCTCTTAAGACGTTTAAAATCTGAAGTAGAGAAAGGACTAAAACCGAAAAAAGAAATTAAAGTTTACATCGGACTTAGTAAAATGCAAAGAGAATGGTACACAAAAGTGTTAATGAAAGACATAGACATCGTAAACGGCGCAGGAAAAATTGAGAAAATGCGACTACAAAATATTTTGATGCAGCTGCGCAAGTGTTGCAATCATCCATATTTATTCGATGGTGCGGAGCCTGGGCCTCCTTACACAACCGATGAACATCTTGTTTATAACTGTGGTAAAATGGTAATTTTGGATAAGCTACTACCAAAATTACAGCAGCAAGAATCGCGTGTGCTCGTATTTAGTCAAATGACGAGAATGTTAGATATTTTAGAAGATTACTGCCATTGGAGATGTTTCCAATATTGTCGTTTAGATGGTAATACAGCACACGAGGATAGACAGCGTCAAATTAATGAATACAACGCACCTGGTAGCGAGAAATTCATTTTCATGCTGTCGACGCGTGCTGGTGGTTTAGGTATTAATTTAGCAACCGCAGACGTAGTTATTATTTATGATTCTGATTGGAATCCACAGATGGATTTACAAGCGATGGACCGTGCGCATCGTATAGGTCAGCAGAAACAAGTTCGTGTATTCAGATTTATAACAGAGAACACTGTAGAAGAGAAGATCGTCGAGCGTGCCGAAGTTAAACTGCGGTTAGATAAGTTAGTTATACAACAAGGACGCTTAGTCGACGCGAAGCAGACGGCATTGAACAAAGACGAAATGTTGAATATGATCAGGCATGGTGCGAACGAAGTGTTCGCATCAAAAGATAGTGCTATAACGGACGAGGATATAGACACTATCTTACAGAAGGGTGAAGCGAAAACGGAGGAAATGAAACAGAAGCTGGAGAGCTTAGGTGAATCTTCCCTTCGCAACTTCACGGTGGATGCGCCTACGGATTCTGTATACCAGTTTGAAGGCGAGGATTATCGTGAGAAACAAAAGATCCTTGGACTCGGTAACTGGATAGAACCACCCAAACGAGAACGTAAAGCCAATTACGCAGTTGATGCGTATTTCAGAGAAGCTCTCAGAGTGTCCGAACCGAAAGCTCCCAAAGCGCCTAGACCACCGAAACAGCCTATCGTTCAAGACTTCCAATTCTTCCCGCCACGATTGTTCGAGCTACTCGATCAAGAGATTTATTATTTCCGTCAAACCGTAGGCTATAAGGTTCCAAAAAATCCTGAACTGGGGTCTGACGCGGCTAGAATTCAGAAAGAGGAACAGCGCAAGATAGACGACGCGCAACCGTTGTCCGACGAGGAGGTCATCGAGAAGGAGAAACTGCTCATGCAAGGGTTCACGAACTGGACGAAAAGAGACTTCAATCAGTTCATAAAGGCGAACGAGAAATACGGTCGTGACGATATTGAAAATATCGCGAAGGAAGTGGAGGGGAAAACGCCGGAGGAGGTCATGGAGTACTCGGCGGTATTCTGGGAACGATGCCATGAGTTGCAGGACATCGATAGAGTGATGGCGCAGATTGAACGCGGTGAGGCGAAGATACAAAGGCGGGCTGGCATTAAAAAAGCCCTGGACGCGAAGATGGCCAGATACCGTGCTCCGTTCCACCAATTAAGGATAGCGTATGGTACCAATAAGGGGAAGAACTACACCGAGGAGGAGGATCGGTTCCTTGTTTGTATGTTACACAAATTAGGCTTCGACAAAGAGAACGTGTACGAAGAGCTTCGGGCTACAGTCAGATCAGCACCGCAGTTCCGTTTCGACTGGTTCGTCAAGTCTCGCACAGCGTTGGAATTACAACGACGTTGCAACACTCTGATCACTTTGATAGAACGTGAAAACCAAGAGCTGGAAGAACGGGAGAGGCAAGAGAGGCGAAAGAAGGGCGGCAGCATAGGCGCGAAACCGGCCTCGAAGCGGAAACAAGAGAACCTTCCAGCGCCTCAAGACAAACCACGGAGAAAGAAGAAGTAAGGAAGAAAATCGTGAATCACTTTCTCAACTGACCTCTCAAAGAGTACGGACTTGATTACAGCGAGAACTCTTTCTTTCGATTCTTTTCCATCGTTCATTCTTCTTCCAAACAATAACCAACATCATCGAACAAGTTCAAGCGAACAGTATTTTGCGTTGTAACTTTGCTCTTGCCCTGATCACTTCGAATTGTTTTTCAGTATAATGATATTGCACTTTCCTGATTTCATTCGTAATCGCAGCCAATGCTTTGCAAAACGTGAATCAATATCGATCAGAAGGGAAATCTATTTATTGATACTAATCAGTACAACGGAAGGACAGTATAACATGGAAATGCTCGTGGACGTAATACTGGAAGGCGTCGTTTTTTTTATTCGAATACCGAGTGACCAGTTTCATCTTGAAAACGAATGTACTTCAAGAACTATGTAGATTTATTAGAGTTTATTGTGAAAGACTGAAGGATTATTCTCGAAGATAACTTACACGTCTTTTTAAGTGGCAATCAAGAAACTTTATGTCACTGAAAAAAATTAACGATTGTGAACCGAGCTACATCGTGTTTAGAATATTTACTATATTTTTTACCGTACTTTTTCTCTAACTTGATGGAATATCTTAAGTACATTTGTGCGGGTAAAAGGGCCACCCGGAACACATTCACGTCGAAGTAACGCTTTTTGGCATTGTGAAACCGAAGCGATACCTTTTGATATACTTAACCGTCAGAATTGTTATGCTCGCTCCTTATTACACATGTATCGCACACAGGACACAACAAAAACGTACCTTGAATCAATTTTACACGGGAGTACTTGTAATGAGATATTACGTCAACAGTTTTATTTATTTGTTACGATTTTTAAGGCATTGTAATTCGTTTTACGAATAAACTACCGTATGCCGCATCACATATAGTATCTATTAGTGCATTGGACTATAGTTAATGCAAAATCAACTAAGTGTTCAAAATTGCTGAAAAGCCTCATACGTACCGTACTATATTTAATAACGTCGCACACTTTGTTTTGCGAATACGATTGATTTTGTGTTAGCTATTAATAATTACCCTCGTTTGAAATTCAAAGGAAATAAAAAGGAGAAAATCGCAAAGGGAATTAATTAATTACGAACGTAAACGATTTGCACATTTTTTGTATAGTTATATTTATTGAATTTTAAAATCCTTATCGACGAGTAAGGAAAAAATATAAATCGGGACACTTGTTTCTAAATCGAGTCTTAGCACGTAATTATTAATAATAATTATACATATATTATATTAAATATATAAATAGTGAATGTATTGCTCGATCGATACAAAAGAAAAACCGATCGTTCAAGTTATAAATCGAGAATGAATAGTTTTTGACTGGCAATAGGTATTCGTAACTTTTATAAAGCGCAGAGAATCATGCACAATCAATAAACATTCGTTATTACAATGGTCACACATTTTTCAGGTATCTCCAGCCCCCTTGTACAGGATTCTTTAAAAAAAAAAAAAACAAGTTGCATACACCGCGGTTTCAATAATTGTACACCTCACTTCAATTATTTCAGATTCATAATTAGACTGAGGTTGTTTATGCATATGCATATATTTACGTGATAATACATTAAAGAGAAAACGAGATTTGCCCAGAAAAATCGTTTCACCTCTTCTAAATCTGAATAAATATATATAACATTCTGTATATTTTACACCCATAGTATACATATGCTTTGTATATTTGCAAATAGTTTTGCACCCATACCTTGCGAGCATTTTTTTTGTACCCAATTTGTAA